GGGCAAGGCCACAGTGCCCAGACAACGGTCAAGCCACAGGGAGCACCGCAGCTGCGTCCGAGGGCTCCCGGGGACTTGCCTGGTCTGCACAGCTCCTACATGACGTTACTGCACCTAGAAGGTGGAGCCCACTGTGGAGGCCTCCTGCAGGCTGAGGCTGCCACCTCCCCAACTTCTCAGTGAGCCCGTAGGAGGTAGCCCCACTGAGCCTGGGCACACTCCTCCAGAGCTGATGGGGCTGGGGGCTCCAGGGTGTGAGCCAGGGTCCCCTCCAGGGGAAGGGAGGGAGAAAGACCAGAGGGAGTGCAAGAGTCGGAAAGTGGGGTGGAGGGAGCAGGTGAGAGGAGGAGGGTCAGCATTCAGCTCACAGCTGCCACGGCCCTCCCCTCATGACGGCAAATCTTCTGTGTCCACTGGACTGAGCTGTGGAGTGCCCAGATAGTTGGGTGAGTATTTCTGGTTGTGTCGGGGGCGGGGGTCCCAGTTGGCATGAGCAGTGTAGACTGAGTAGATGGCAATGTGGACAAGCAGCATGCAATTCTTGGGGGGCCAGAAGAGATGCAGGAAGCCAGCGAGAATTCACCTTCTCACTGCCTGAGTGCAGGAGCTGGGTCTTTGGCTTCCTGCCCCCCAGGCCTGCCGGCTCAGAGTGGAACAACCACCTGAGCCGGCAGCGGGCGGCGAGGCTTCCCCTCCCAAAGTCACGTGAGCTGGTTCCTCATAGTCCAGACAGAAAGCAGGGAAGGAATGGAGGGAGCGAGGGAAGGAAAGAGAGAGGAGAAGAAATAGGAAGGAAGGGAAGGAAGTCAGGCAGGAAAGAGCAGGAAGGAAAAAGAAACAGGCTAGACAGATGATACCTGGGGGGTCGCATCCACAGGCCCCCTCTTGGTTCTGTGTGTCTGGAGGGCCCCGGTACCCCACCCCCACTCGAGTCAGCTCCCCTGCCACAGGCCCCCATTTATTTCCTTCATGGTGCTCCCCACCACCCACCCTAACAGCTCTGTCAATCACGGTGCTCCCCACCACCCACCTTCACAGCTGTCAACCACTTTGCTTTATGCTCCCCCAAAACAATGCAAGAAGCAGCCCCCTCTGACCCACCCCAGCACTCCTGGCCTGGCACAGCCTCGGCACCCCAAGTGTCCTGTACAGCAAGAGGCACGGAGCCAAGCTGCGGGGAAACAGGACTATGTTTATGTGAGAAACAGCAGGGAGGGGTTCCCAGAAACACTCCAGGGACTTCTGGCCTGGTCGAGGTCTCAGTCCCCTGCGAGGCCCGACGCTGCTAAGTCAGGTCACCTTGTGCTCCATCACCAGCCCGTGACAGCACAGAGTCCACCTCCGGCAAACACCACCTGTCACAGCCTAGGCGGGTGTCAGGTCACCACACACACACCCAGAGGCCTCCGAGGGCAGTCAGAGGTCACGCCCGGTTTGTTTGTGTTTTGATTTTGTGGGTCCAGTGCAATGTGCTTGTTGGAACGCTGGCCTCCAGAAGGTTTGCTGCAAGTCCAAGAGGTGACCACGCAGAGGCTGCAGGTGTGGCTGGGTGGGGAGGGACGGGGTGAGGGGTGCAGGAAGGGACACGGCGCTCCGAGGGTCAGCCCACGGCTGTCGTGCAGACGGCCGTCCTTCCTCCACGCGTGGCTACCTCGGGATTGAGGACCCGGGTTTCAGCTCCCTCAGCAGAAGGTGTCCCAACCTGGTCGCCCTTGGGCGAGTTCCCTGCTGTTTCTTCAGGGCCACCTCAGCAGACATGGGTGTGTTCTCCCTCGGCAGAACGTCTCAAGGCGGCCGAAGCCCATTACTGAAGGGGCAAGAGCCCTGTCCCCGTGGAGAGTGAACTGAGCTCAGCCCCAACAGCTGATTGCTGCTGCCTCTGGGGGTGATGAGACATACCGGGCCTCCCAGTCTGGGTCTGAGAAATGGGCTGGCCAACACCCTGTTTGCAGTGGACAGCTGCCAGTCTTTATAGCCCCTGGGTGGATCTCGGCGGGCAGCCACGGAACCTGACGCAGCCACCTTCTCCCCAGGAGCACCTCAAACTGGAAGGCGGACCCTCCTCCAGGAAGTCTTCCTGGGTTGCTCCACGCCTCCTCGGAGTCTAAGCTCGGAGCTGGGCGGTCCCACCGGGGGCCCAGGGTGCCAGTCATGGAGCAGACATGGTTCTGGGCACTGATGGTGTCGATTCTTTTCCCTTCACAAACTTTCCCTCTCTTCTGGGAGGGAGCCACTGCCCAGGCTTCCGGAAAGCGAGGAACAGGAAGGGGCAGCTCAGTCGTCCTCATCCTCGTCTTCGTCCTCGGTGTCCTTGTTGGGTGTGCATCTCTGGAAACACTGCACCACGGTGGCCAGGAAGAAGCTGGAGATGATGGCGGCAATGGACACGGCCACGCCCGAGAAGATGATGATGAACAGGTCTGTGAGGGACAGGCTGAACTTGCACTCGCTGAAGCTGGCCTCCGACAGCTGGTGCAGGAAGACCCGCCTGTTCTCCATGGGCAGGGAGCACTGGATCTCATCGAGGCCTGAGGCAAGGGGGGGGGGGCAGAATGACACAAGGTTTAGGCTGTCCCCGGGGGTGGGTTCAGCAAGACCCTGCGGAGAGGGAAAGCAGGAGCAGCCCCCCAAGTCAAGAGGGGCATGAAGTTGATGTGCATGAAATGAAAACTGTTTAAAATGCTTCAGGGTAATCGCCAGGGCACAGACCTGGAGGTCTCAATGCAGCCCTGCTCCAGAGGCATGGTGTGCCTGGGCTTTGACTCCCCTGAGATTGCAATGAGCGGGCAGCCGCATCCACCTGGCAACGCCCGCCTGGTGGGCAGGCCCCGGGGAGGCGCAGTGCCAGCACCAATGCCCTCCATTTTGCAGGCCACCTAAATCCAGGGCCGCTCCCCGGGGCCCCCACAGCCCTCAGGACAAAAAGGAACCAAGGCTGTCCCGAAGTCGGGGTGCCCTCGACACACCTCACGGAGTAGCTCATTTCTCCCCTGCAAAGAGCAGCTAATTGCACCGCAATGCTGTGACACCCTTCGGGGTTTGTTTGTGTATCTTCCCTTCGCCAGCTCAGAAGCGGAAGATGGAGGACGAGAGCTTGGGCCTCCTCTCGCCTTCCCGCCAGGCCCAGCTCTTAAGCAATCTGCCGCCAACCACAGAGGCGCCCCTCGCCAGGGGAAATGTTGCCTAGCAACCCGACTCCCACCCCTCCTCTCCCTGCTCAGAGGCTACTTTATAGATCTAAGGATTTAGCTGGACGGAAGCTCTGCAGGTTTCTCCAGTTTATACCTGACTGTAGGTTTCCACTGTTGCTTTCTCTTAAAAAAGCCAAAGATTTTGCTTCCTTGGCCTGAGTCTTTTCAATGCATTGGAGCAGGAGAGCTGTAGGACAGAAGGCTATCAAGGTTCGCTTGCAGACGCTGTTTTCTCCAATGGAAAAGTGGAAAAATTAATTGGCCTGATTCTCCCTCAACCTTCCTGCCCCACCCCTCCAGAGAAAGATGTTATGAAATAAGCAAGAAGGACACCGTTGAATCACAGGCAGTCCCCACATCCAAGATAAGATTTGCAATCTTCATTATTTACCGTGGGGAACTTTCTAGAAGTCCCATTCTTCAATGTACTGTATTAACTGATAATCAACCATAACAAAACAACACAAGCCCGCTGGGCCTGGCATTTCAGCCCAGCCTGTGCTGACCCCGGCTCGCCAAGCTGATTCTGATTTCTATAACAGTCTTTGTGCCTTGAGATGAGGGTTGACATTTCTACTAAGCGGCCCTTTTAGAAAATGTCACCTCACCTTTTTCCGTGGCGAGAGGAAAGGGGCTTACTTGAAAAACACCGCAGACAAGCCCACCATGGCTGGGAGACTCTGGACCCACGCTCAATAAGACCCGCTCGATAAGACACGCTGGCTTAATGAGTTTTTGTAGTTCACAAAGAGCAGAGAAATCAAAAGTGCGGACAAAGAAAATCAGTGAGCGTGGGGAAAATGGAGTTAAATCAGGCTTTGTCCTGCCCTCCTGCCGCTGGCTCTGTGGTGGCACCTGAGGGCTCGCACCCCTCCTGCGTTGTGTGGGCATGGGCATATGCACCTGGCATTGTGGGCCCTGGGCTGGGAAGCCAGAGAGCGTGGGCGGCATGTGTCAGTGCAGACACCTGCCCCGGGAGGGGGTGTCACTCCGAGGCTGGGGCATTCAACGTCTCCCTGCTGGCTGGTCTGTTCCCCATTCAGCATTAGAGGCCTGTAGAAATCTCCGAAGACTCCAAAATTCTCTGTCTGTGAGAACCGACAGTGAACCTATACCCGGTCTGGGAGGTTGCACAACCGTGGGCCAGAGAGGGAGAGTCTTGTGAGGCTGACTGCAGAACTCAGGAGTTGGAGGTGACCTGGCTGTGGGGAACCCTCTTCTCTCCTGCTAGGCCTCACTGCATGCCGTTTCATATCCTTGACACTGTTGGCATGTGGGCTCAAAGAAGTGCTCGGTGGGGTGGGGGACGGTGGGCTGCTCAGAGCACGCGCTGTGCCTGGGAGAGGTCAGCAGAGTCACCCTCGTGAAGGCCCCAAGTGCCTCCAGTGTTACTGTCCCCGGGAGGGAGTCTGGAAGGGAACGAGCTCCTTAGTGGAGAACCTCAGCTTTAGACTGAAATGCTTACCTAAGAAGGCTACTGTGTAATGTTACAGGGCAGGGAGAGGGGCACCCCAGGGCCCCAAAACCTGCCCGCTCTAAATAGGTTCTGCATACGCCACATCAAGATAAAGTTCCTGTAATGAAAAGGAACTTTAATACAGTGAGTGTGTAATACAGAAAAGGCAAAAGAATAGAGTTTCTAAATCAAACACCTGAAGTGACCCCCCCCCACGTGGGTAAAAGTCCCCTCAACAGGGATTGGCCCAGAGCAAGGCCCAGAAGCCAGACCCAAGTCTAAAGCACTTTCTAGCGGGGACATATAGAAAAGGGTCAGAAATGGCCAGACAAGGACCCTCCTTGGTGGTGCAGTGGGTTAAAGCCCGGCACTTCAAGCTGGCCGTAGCCGCCTCGGTGCGAGTTCAATCCCCAGCCCCAGAGGTGACCCAGATGGCGCGGCAGACCTCCCCTGTCTCCCCACTGCTCCCCTCAGCAGTATACCTCATCAATCTGCCTGTTCTGCTCCCCACTCTGTCTCTCATGAATCATCTTACCGCCCCTACACCTCTGGGCTGTACCCCAGTTTTGTGTGCAGAAATCAATAAATCCTTAAAAAAAAAAAAAAAAGAAAGAAATGGCCAGACAAGTCTGGGAGGAAAAGAGCAAATCAAAATCAAGGTAAACCTGCTGCCATCATTCTGCAGTATCAGAACACCGATGCTCCATAAATGCTCCCCGCTCCTCAGTGCGCAGGCCCCAGCTAGGCCGTGGATGAGGCGTGGAAGCGGCGGGGGCTCCCACCGAGCCAGGGAACCCGGGTCCTTCTGCTCACACCCAGCTCCTCTGCGGCCTTCCCGGAGCAGCCACGCTGTGCCCTGTGGGACCGTCCTTCCCTTCCAGCCGAACGCCGGTCTTGGGCGCCCCCTGTTGACGGACGCTTGGGTGGTGTCCGAGCTCTGGCTGCTGTGAAGTCTGTCTAGAAGCTTCTGTTGGAGTCAGTGTTGCAGTTCTTTGGTGTAAATGCCCAGAGCGGAGTCGCTGGATCGTGGGGACCGTCCGAGTTTAATCTGAGATGGGGCCCTGCGGCTCCCAGTGGTGGCTGCAGTCTGCGCTGGGTGTCCTGTGTCCCCCCGGAACTTCCCCACACTAATCACTGTACATGAAAAATATTAATGCCCCCCGTGTGTGTGAATTGGTAACTTGTTTTTCTGTGGCTCTGATTTGCGCTTCTGTCACCATTCGTGAGGCTGAGCTTTTTTTCCCCACGCTCATTGATCTGCTCTTTTTTATTTTTTTCAAGATTTATTTTATTCATTTATGCATACAAGAACAGGCCAGAGGTGCGGGGGGTGAGAAGAGTCACCGGGGACAGAGTGGGGAGCAGAACAGGCAGACCTACCGAAATGCACTGCTGAGGGGAGCAGCGGGCAGGACAGGAGAGGTCTGCTGCGCCCGGTGGGTCACTCCCTGGCTGGGGATTGACTTCATGCTGCAGTGGCTGGAGATTGCTTGACAGCGCTGAGACTTTAAGCCCTGACCACCAGGGAGGCCCTTTTCCTCCCTGTGAAATGAAGGCCATGGTCCCCTGAAGAGCCCCGGGGGTGACATTTCACCAAGGATCGGCAGTCACTTTGCAAAGGGCCGGTCCTAAATCACTTCAGCAATCTGAGCAAGGCTGGGAAGGTTCAGGGGGCTGTCGCGATGGCAGGCTGGGTTCTGAGAGAAGGAACAGGCATCTCTCCCAGTTTGGGGTCGCCCAGCCACCTGCTGCTTCCTGCGCCTCATCCACTGGAAAGTGGGTGCCACCAGCGTGGGGGGGGGGCTGCATTTTTGAGTACCTGTGTGCTCACGAGCGCCCTTTGCACTGGGGTTTAGCGCTTCCCTTCCCCCACCACTGGCAGGGGCCGTATTCCACCTCACAGCTGAGAAATGAGCGTTAGGAATCCTGGCCACTCACCAACGATGCCATGGTGAAGCTACAATACAAACCATGTACTCAGTTTGGTTTTCCTCCAAAGACGGCTTGTGTGATGCTGGAGGAAGTAAAGTCCCTGGCCCCATAATCCAAAGCGAAACCCATGGGAAGGAAGATGTGTGACTGAGAGGGTCGGGTAGCTCTTGCTTCGCTTGCCCAGAAAAGGGACTGAAGGCCCAGTCCGCGCTCAGAAGTGGCACAATGAAGGAAACCCTGAGTCCTGGGGGTCACTGGGGACCCCCAGGCAGCCTCCTGGGTTAGAACAGCCCCTGTGTGTGCAGGTGCTAGAGGGCCTCACTGCAGGGTCCTGAAAGTGCATGAAGAAGTCACAAATGAGGCCTCCCTGGTGATGCAAGGGGTTCAGCCTCAGCACTCTGAAGCAACATGAGTTCCATCTCCACCAGGGCGTGGTAGACCTCCCCTGTCTCCCCGCTGCTCCCCTCGGCAGTGGATTTCAGTAGGTCCGCCTGTTCTGCTCCCTGCTCTGTCTCTGGGAAATCCTCTCAGCCTCCACACCTCTGGCCTGCACCACAGCTCTTGTGTGCATAAATAAATCAATCTTTTCTTTTTATAAAAGGGTTTAAAAAAAAAAAAAGGTGGCAAATGGCACCCTGAGCCACACTTGGGCTGCAGCCGGCCAGAGCGCCTCTCCTCCTCCAGGACTCGGTCAGAAGGGACAGGCCACCTTCCTGGCCAGGGTGGCTGCACACCCCACCGCTCCATGCTCGGGGCTCTCTCCCGTTGACAGATGACTTCTCCCCAGCTGCTGACACCTGAGCTGGGGGGAGGAAGGCGCTGTCCTTCTCCTGGTGACACCGGATGGAAGATTGAGATTGATCTCTCCCCCTTGCCAACAAAGGGCTCTGGCCAAGGCCCTGGGGCTTTACCCTGCTCTGGGCTCCTGGCACCTGTGGGAGCAGATCAA